GTACTAATTTGATTAATTTTTATATTTCAATAAGAATGTAGTATTCTAGTTGGCTGGTAACGTTTTGTGTCCTTTTTAGCTCTGGGACATCTATTGTAGGACATATTCAAAAAAGGAAGCTTTTATTTTTCCATTACTATTTTTTTTTTAGAATTTTATCTGGAATATATTTGTAAAGTAATACAAAGACGATTACCTATGCAATGGATTGCTGAAAGTCACTGTGAGTCTGATGACCTTAACAGTGGCAGCATGCACAAGAGGACCCACATCCTAAATGCACTACATACTTTGTTCTGTTGAATGCTTCTGATGGTTAGACCTAGGGGGAGTCTGTTCACAATTCTCAGGTTCCCTTTATCATATATAAAGGGGGAGGACAGTGACACCTACTTCAAAATATAGTATGACCACTTATGGGGGGATAAAAGTGGCAGTGTTGGAATTGGAGACACTATCCCTGAACACAGAGTCCTCATTCAGGTGAGGGGACCAGACTGGGGTAGGGGCAATTGGAGGGGGAGTATACAGCCAGCTCCTGGGGGGTGTTGCCCTGCTCGGGATGGGCTGCCCTCGGCCCCTTGGCTCGGGGTGAGCCGTTGCGGCCCTCAGGGTGAGCTCCTCAGTCCCCAGATTGTGCCATCTGACCCCTGGGTGGGGAAGGAGGGGAAAAAAAAAGAATGCCTAGGGTATCCAATGTTACCTAGGCCACCTTCTGCCACCCTCCCCCCCAGTAAACCTGAAAGCAACACCCTCAAAGCCCTTCTATTTGTAACTCACAAGTTTGTTCTCTCTAGGTTTGCTCCCTTTAGGTAACCTTAATACTGTGTTTTACTCCAGAATTAACTCTAAACCCAGTGCCAGTGACAAAAAGAAAATACAACTGACAGCAAAGGAAGCAAAGGAGGATGGAGCCTCTGGGATCAACCAGCCATCCCCACTGGACCCACCTGGGAAAACACTTTGCTGTCCAGAGGGGAGCAAATGACAGGAAAATATCTTCTAACAGAGCAAGAAGGCAAGCAGCTTTAACCCAAGACCATCAGTAAGGTGATAAAGCGTCCTCCCTTCCCCCCTTTACATCTACGCCCCTGTTCAGCATGAAGAAGCCAGAGAGTCGGCATCCAATTCCCAAATCAATAAGACAGTGGGTTTAATTACCATTGGAAAATGCTTGTCATTCTTCTGTAGCATCTGGTCCCCACTGGACCCTCATCATTTCCTTCACCTGCTCCCCCCACCGACAAAACTGTGCAGCTCTGCAACTGCATCCTGGCCCATCCTCACCCTTCTGCCCCCATCCCTCACCTCCTTGTACCCCCAATATGTTTTTCTCAATAAAAAAAAGTTAAATAAAAACAAAAAAACCCCAAATTAATATAAACAGTAATATAATGAGACATCCTCAATCCTACCAATGCACTTTAACACACTCTTACATGAGGTGGGGTGGGCGGGGAGAAAGGTGCAACAATGAATGAATGCAATTCCAATATCTCTGTAGATGTTCATTGAAATGAAAAAGAAATAAATTAAAATATTTAAAAAAACATTCTTAGTGAACTTTTGTTTCACTCATATTTCAATGTCCCATATATATAAACTATATGAAGAAGTGGATTATATGCTTACTGCAAATGCTTACTTAAAACTTTTTATCCCTTGTAGTGTGCTACTTCTCAGAAAAAAAAAATTATAGGTTAAGTGATAATGTTAATTTTTAAAATGACACAGATCAATGACCAAAGAGTTTAAGTATTCATTTCCCTTAATACAAATTACCATACTGCTTCGTAGATACCAATGATATGAGACTACACATTTTTTATTAAGCATCAGTTAAACTTTAGATTGCAATAATCAAAGGACAGTTCAATTTAAAGTTTAGATTATTTAAGAAGTCTTCAGCAAAAAAGACATTATGATATGTGGTGATTATTGTAGATGTTATGAAAGAGGCTGTTTCCATTACTATTTAATGACATCTCTAAGCTCTTCACTATTGTATTTTCAAAATATGATTAAGAACGTATTGATGCCATCATAGAATTTACTATTGTTCGTATAGACAGACTTGTTTGTTTTGTACTGTCAAGTCAAGAAGTGATTCATAGCGACCCTCCACTGGGTTTTCAGAGGCAGTAAATTACACTGGAGGAGACTGTCCATCTTTCTCTTATGAAGCAACTGACAGATTCAAACAGCATGCTTTTGGTTTGGCAGCAAAACTCCTTCCCACTGAGTCACCAGAGCTTCATCTTACAGTCATAGTTTTATAATTGACACTTGAGAGAATATATGAGAAGTATTACGGATGGAGGTTAAAATAAAGGCAAGGGGAAGATCCGCTTGAAGCCAATATATGCATAAAATACTGTATAAGCTGAGTGTGTAAACTGTAGAACATTGCTGTTTTCTTTGCAATACTAAGGACTTATCTCCTTCAATATTCAGAATCTTGAGTTAGATCTTCCTGCTTGTGGAAAGATAACTTCATTATCCTTCAAGCTAATTTTCTGGAACTGAGAATTCCAGATCAATTAGCTAACAGCAGGGCTTTGCTAAATTAGTAAAACTGAGATGGAAAAATCCTTTAGAAGTCAGTATCTTAAAGGTGCTTCCTAGGGTGTCTGTATATGTTGTTGTTACTTATAAATAATAAATGTTAATCTCCTTCAATGCCAATTTATAATTTCTAAAAACCCACTGGAGGGTCAACTATGAGGCATTCCTACTTGAAGGTACATAGCAACAACAAAGCTGCCATGAGATAACTAGTGAAAAATAAATGTTTATTATATACATATATATTCTAACATTTTTCTGATTACAATAGAAATTTACCTTGTGATAAAGTTGACAGCAAAAAGTAAATGTTAATTTAGCAATTATGATTTTATGGTCTTTATTGTGACTAGTGTACAGTTCAGAAAGTTTCAATTCACAGAAAAACTCATGCCTCTAGAAGCAGAATGGTGTTTCATGTCAGTTTGATAATTGGTGCTGGAGGTCCCCCATGTGTGAAAAAGAAAATCATGTGATGAAAAAAAAAGAAGAAAAGTTAGTAGCAAGGAAAAGGGAAGGTTGGTAAAAATGATGACACTGTAAATAATAATTTAACTGAATTGTGAAAAAAAAAAAAAACAACAACAAAAACCCCAGAAGTTTGGAAAGACAAAAAGATGAGGCAACAGGTTTAAAAATTATACAAATGTGAAAAAAAAATACTTGTGTGGGAACTAAATTTTTTAGGGACAAATTTTGCTTATTGTATATAAAAACATTGATGCTAAAAACATATGTTTCAGAAAAAAGGAAGTCAAGTTAAGTTCTTAAATATTTATTTATAAAGGAAAACTATACTTCAAATGTCAGTTCACTCTAATTAGGTTTTTAGTCTGTGTCCATCTACAAACCCAACTTCAAAATCCCCTGTATATAATAATTTAATCATTAAAAAGTCATTACTAGAATGCATATCTAGAAATTTCAACAGTTGGCTTCAAAGGGAAAATGTTGCCAAAAAATCTACCTCTTATGATTCTAATAACTCTACTGGGAAAAATTAATAAATTGCAACTAATATAGCAACTACCATATAGAACATAGTTTTGAAAATATTGAATTATCAATATCATTAATGATGGTATCTTTGAAATAAAATCATTAGATATTCATTAAATCTTAGTCATGATATAAACACACAAATAATAAAAATTTTACAATTAAACTGGTCATAACTGAAGTATTAATCTACATTTTTCTTTGACATTTTCAAGTCTTACTGGATACCACCATCCAACCCCTAAAACAAATTAATTTTATAAAATTTTGATAAATTGATAATTGTTTTTAAATTTTAGAACCAGCTATAAAAGTGTCCAGTGTGTTGTGGCATTTTTGGTAACCACAAGTCACTCAATTGATGCTTAATAAAATTTATTTTAGAGCATAAGATGATTATTTTTAAAAGAATAAATAGTTTACAACTTCTACCACATTCTAACTGGCAGTTGCATTTTTGTATGTCTTGAAATAAAATATGTATACTTAATGATTTTCCCAAAATAAAACGTATGTACATGCAAATATTTGCTAAAACAGAAAATAATTACTAAGTGATTGAGATGCCTGAAATAGAATCTTCCCATCTGGATTACTTTGATCTAGAAGAGCGAAAAGAGAGATTGTAGAAGGGGGATAAACCAATGGCTTGATGCAACCACACTTTCCATTCAAATATCCTACTAGGCTTTTTCTTTGGAAACCCTGGAAAGTGGAAAATTGGATCTCATTTTATGACACTGTACTTCCCAGAATATTAGATGGAAGAACAAATAGATAAGGAAAGCAGTATTTCTCTTTTTTCCTAAACCCATTACAATTGAGTTGATTTTGACTTTTAGCAACCACTAATGGTAGAACAGAACTGCTCCATTTCTGTCTCAGGCTGTAACAGAAGATGACACATCTTTCTTTTGAAGACTGAGCAGTCGGTAGATTCAAACCATGGACTTTAGCAGCTTAACATTTTGACGCCAGGGCTCCTTCATTCCTTCCTTTCTTTTCCTCTGTCCCTCTTTCATCGTTCTGTATTTCTTTTCTTTTTCTGTAGATCTTTTCTTAACATAAAGAGTTCTATTCTTCTATATCAGCCAAGGCTTGTAGAGTATGAATCTACTGTTATGAAATTTAACAAAATGTCTATTCTTTTAATTTAAAAAAACCGTGTTGGAGAAGAAAACACAAAAGTATGTTACCTTTGAGCAGATTTTCCTCCAAATAAGAAATGAATACCTGTAAAGTAAAAACTCCTTACCATTTTCAGGTGTTAATATATTTGGGGATACATGGACAGATATACTTCTGCACCACTGAGATGTATGTTGGTGATTATTCTGGACAAATAAGAACATTGCTATGCCTTCACATTCATGAATGGAGAAATATTTGTTCTGAATCATTTTAAGGCCACACTATTGGTAACCAGGAAGACTTACCTTGAAGAAGGTCATGGTGGCTCCATCTTCCACAGCTCCATATTCTATCTTGGTTTGTTTAGCTAAATCATCAGCAGAGTCAATGGGGGATTCCATGCGCTCCACTGTCAGAAAGGCGGCTAAGTTAGCAGTATACGAAGAAATGATGATAAGTGTGAAAAACCACCAAATGCCTCCCACTATCCTGGTGGACAGCGCTTTGGGCATGAGCTCAGAACCTAACAGAGATTAGGGGGAAAGGTGAAACGAATACAGAAAATACGATCAGCAGTCAAATTCTTTCAGTCACAGTGGCAGAATGGAATCACTGTGCAGTAAAAGTTGAAACCACAGGAATAATATCTTGCTTCAGTAAGCCAGCAACAACCACAGGGAGAATGGAGGCTAGTTTCAGATCAATATAGACTCTTAGGACACTTGTGTTCAAGTATAGTGACAGGAGATGAAACAAAATGTCAATTATAATATTAATAAGTAAAAATTCTCCATAAATAGTGCTAGGAGGGAGAAAACTCTCCAGTTCATAAGACATTTGGCATTATTTGTCATAACCTTGTTAGTTATGTATGTTTTAGAAGAAATTTCTTAACAAGCTTTATATATTTCAGTTTTCATGCAGCTCAAAATTTTATTCTTCTTTCTTGTCATTTAGAACAGCAATGCTGTATAAGTGTATAAGTATTTTATTTATCCACATTCATTTAGACAATGTGGTCTTTTAATTCCAGTTAGTATTTGAAAGCAGATTAGGATATTATTTCCTTGGGTATAAGCAAATATCTCCCATCACTGTAGGTAGACTCAGAAGGGAAATGAGAATAAATAGCTAAATTTTAAAAACTTATTTTATACACATGTTCTCATTTATGTATATATATATACACACACAATATATGGCTGGAGTTGCCTGCTCATGATTTTGATAAGAGAAATGGGATGTGATAATTATATTTTACTTTTAATTATTATTAATATTAATATTAATGAATTTATATATTTTTTAAAATCCTTACAACTTTAAAATCTAGTCTATTACCAATTAATTTTTAATTATAATTTTACCACATTGTTTACCATCTTAATATTGCAATGAAGACATTATCAGTATTTGTTATTTGTTTTATGAAAGAAATATTACATTTATGAGCACATAAACTGTTACTTTTTTAAGCATTCTGAAATTCAGATACTACAAATTACCCAATTATTAATAAAGTTTGCATAAAATGAAATAAAGCAAGATGGATTCCATTTAGCTGCTTTACTATGCAACCATGTCTTTAATAACTAATCCAGTAAGGTAACACGTTAGATGAAATGAAAATTATTGACAAATGTTCATGTTACCAATAAAAAGAAGTGTTATCTTGACTGGACTATTATATCAAAACAGACCATCTTATACTGTAGTTCATTTTACCCTTGCAATTTCAAACAATAAACCAATTTGAAAAGAAAGCAGACAGACTTGGACATGACAGCCAACTCCAGTTCCAGAATCTGGCTACCAGCCAGTAAGGAAAAAAAAGCAGAAAAGTACCTTTCTGATGTAGTTGCTCCTATGCCCTGTCAGAAACACACTTGGACACCAAAACACTAAAATATTCCCAACATGATCAACAGCTCTGCTGCCTATTCTACGACTATTTTAATTATTTAAATTACATCAAAAAAGTTAAACAAGACTGGGAAAGAAAAGAACAGTGGAGACATTTGACAAGAATTGCCCAATTACCACAAGTTCATATCTTACCCAAGGATTTAAGGAATACCCCCTGGGCTTGTGAATCAGAGCCTGGTTCGGGGCTGACTGTCATGTACTCAAGGTAACGTCATGTCCAGCACTACATCCCACTAATTCCTGGGGGACTGGCCATCAGTCAGAATAGTATGGGTTCCTCTTTCATGTGTCCACCAGCAGTGAAGTATTATGTTGGTAAAGCAAATGTATATTTGAATTTATCATTGCTCAGATTAATTATCAACATTTTCAGAGATTTCATGTATAATCTTGTTTTCAATTACTAGTTTTATTGCTATCATATTCATTATATGGATAAATAAACTCTCCAAAACCTCTACATAGTACAATAAGTACATGTGACAAATATATTATTTTTCAGAACTGAAGTAAAAAGAAACCAGTTTTGTTAAGGCCAATCTTCATTATATTATATAGGTAGTTAGCAATTTGCCTTGATGAATTAATGATATTATTCAATAATAATTCTAAAATGTTTGTCTCATAGAGCAGGCTTTTAATTATTTCTAGTATTTTTAAATAATGTTGTGTCCATCATTGTCTTTCAAAAGTAGATTAAGTCTAAAGAGGGAAAAAATAGGTCATGAAATATGGAAAAAAGCAAAACTGAACTGATGATAAAGAAATAATAGTTAAAAGAAGCTTCCTCTTAAACAATCTATTTCCACAGGATCAATCTTCTCCAATGACTCCTAATTTAAGTATGTTGAATTTGAGCTTTTATAATTTACTTAGCAG